TTTACTTTTATTTAGAGGTGATTTTTTCTGCATTTTTTTTGCTAAAAAAATTTAATCATTGGACTCATTCTATTTTTGCCCAAGGGCGAAGCATTTTTTTAAAAAGAAATACCAGAAGCAAAAAAACAAACCACCAAAAAGGACGGCCAAAAATATCAAGCTTTAAAAAAACTCATACAACGGAATTCTTTTTTGATTAAATGTCCCCCTTTTCCGATCTCATTGACAAGAGGGGTCTCTAGCCGATGGGGACTTGGATCAAATTTCCTCATCTTTGAATGTTTTCTTATTTTTTGGATTCTAAAGCTTCCCCTATATTTCTAAACTTACTTAAATTTTTAAAGATCCATCGGGACCGAACCTTTAAATTGATGTTTTGATCAAATGGTTCATCATAATAAATTGGCAAAATGATAAAAAGGGTGGAAATGTTTCATATTTACCACTGTTACCACAGTGCGTGATAAAAAAGGTTTGGGTGACCAAGTAGGTTGTTCTGGGGCGCCGGTGAGAAAACTTTTGGGCGGAATAAGAAGTATTTGAATGTTTCAACAACATCATATTTGATTTACTGAACGTTTCTTCCATTTTTTTAACGTAAAATGCCCCAACTGACAAGCTTCCGGGATAAACGATGACGCCAGTTTGGGATTAACAAATTTAAGTTTTTCCTTTGATCTGGGGTGGGTTGCTTTTCCCCAATTTTGACATTTGGAAGTGCTGGGAATGTTTGATTAAATAATCCAATCAAAAATTTACGTTGGGTTGTAGAAGTTTTCGAAAAAAACCCGGCCGTTCAGGTGCTTTCTTTAATATCTTTTTCCGGAGACAAGGGTTGGATTTATTAATCTTTAAATGATTAAACCCGTTCTCGTCTTCATCGAGAAAGATGTTATTTATTCGTGAAGATTAAAAGGGAAATTACTGAAATTCCCATGGTGTTCGGAATGTAGATCGGGTTTTTAAAAACCCCCAGGAGGAAAAGAAAAGGAATTCAAAAAGGGTCTTGTAATTTTTTTTGAAAATAAAAAGGGGGGGCCAAACCAAAAGGGTTTTTTTTCTCAAATTTTTTTTCTAAAATTTTTTTAAAATTAACCCCCGGGGGGGCCCTAGAGAATTTAAAATTTGAAGGGAAATTTTTTCAATCTTTCAAAAAAAGTTTTTTTTATTAAAAAGAAAAAAAAATTTAACAAAAAAAAAATTTTCCAATTTTTTGTTTTGGGGAGGTTATTAAATTTATTAACTTCCAAATTTTTGGCCAATAATTTAAAAAAAAGGGGAAAAATTGTTAATTTTTTTAATTTTTTTTTATTGCCTTCCCCAAATCAAAAAGGAAAAAAAAAATTTTTTTTTCCCTTTTAATTTTTCTTTAAAATTTTTTTTTTCCTTCCTTTTTTTTTTGGGCCGAGGGAAAATTTTTAAACCCTTTCCCTTTTTTCGGCCCCCCGAAATTTTCCATTAAATTTTTCTCACTTGGGAAAAATTTAAAAAATTTTTTGGAAAACCAAATTTTTTCCAATTTTAAATTTTCGTTTAAAAAAAGTCCTTAAAACCCCCAACCTTAAAAAAACTTTTTTTCCGGGTTTTTTAGGGCCCTAAAAAATAAGGTTAAAACAAAAACAAGAAAATTTTTTTTTGGTTTTTGAAAATTTTTTCGGGAAAAAATTTGGGGTTTTGGGATTTTTCCCAAAAACGGGGTTTTTAAGGGGAAAATTTTGGGACAAAAAAATTTTATAAAACTGGTAAAATTTCAAAAAAAGTAAATTTTCTTTAAATAAAATTTTTTTAAAAAGGAAAAATAAAAAAATATTTTTTTTTATCAAGGGGAAAAAAGAAATTTTTTAAAAATTTTAAAATTTTTGTTTCGGAAAAAAAATTTCTTATAATTTGGAAATTTAAAGTTTTTTAATAAGTTTTCTTTTCAATTCTTTTATTAAAGCCCCTAATCAGGGAATTTTAAACGTTGAAAATTTTTTCTTTAATTTTTTGGTTTAAAAAAGGGGGGGGAGAAATTTTTTATTTTCGATTTTGAATGCCAAAAAAACTTTTATATCTTTTTTAAAAAAATCCATTGGTAAGTTCAAGAAAAGTTTTTTTTTTAATTGGGCTTTTTTGTTATAGTCTGTTCATAATATTATCTTATTAACGCTGATTTATTGGCGGGGTTAGAGACAAACCCGTTTATGAAACTGGTTAAATTCCAAGCTTTAAACCCTTTTTTAAATCCTAATTTTTAATTTTTTACATATATTCGATTCCCAGGAATTGGGGGAAAATTTTTCCGGGTAATTTCCTTCTTGGTCTTTCCCCCTGTTATTTGATTAAAAACAAATTTTTATCCTTAATGCTAAATTAATTTTTTTATCTTTTTCCCAAAAAATGTAATCCACTGGGAAAAAAGGGGGTTCTGTGGGGTTGGAAAAATAAAATCTTTTTTGGGGAAAGGTCAATAAAAAAATATAGTTCGACGAAAAAAGAGTGAGCGATGGCTTTAATTTACTGAAATCGTAGGTAAAGGAATGGAATCAAAAGGGGCCAAGAAAATAAAAAAAAATTTTTTTTTATTTAACCCAGAAATTATTTATAACTTTAAAAATTTGAATTTAAATAAATATTACTTTTTAAATTTTTCCCCTTCAAATCTTTAAAGGCCAGTAAAAGCTAAATGTTTTTTATAAAGTTCCCCCTTCAGAAATTTTCCTAAAAAATTTTAACTTTAGGCCCAAATTTGTTTAAAAAGGTTTTTTCGGATTTTTTTAAATATTTGTATCTAAAAAAGAATTTAAACATAAAATATTTTAAAAAAAATTTCGGCCCTTTTTAAAGGGAACAATTATTAATTTTTTAATTAATATTAGTTTGTTGTTTGGTTGTTTTTTTGGGTTTTGGGGATTGAAACCAATCATTATTAAATTCAGTTTAGTTACCGGGGGTATTATTCCCTTTCCTTAAAATTTTTAAAAAAAAAAGACAGACCCATTTTTGGCTTTTGGTAATGACAATTAAAATCATTACCAGATTTTTTTTTTAAAATTAAACCAACAAGCCGATATTGCCAATTTCGCGAAATTAATTTATAAATTCAAATGGAATCAAAAAAAATCCGCTACCCTTTGAAAACCCCATTCCTTGGAACCATTAAAAAATTCCAATTTTTTTTTCTTTATACGCTGCAGAAATTTTTGAGATTTTTTGAAATTTATTTGCTTTGAATAAAGGGGTGTTTTTTTCTATTTTAACAATTGATCCGTCAGGTTTTCTAAAATTTCTTAAACAATTGCTGTTTATAAAAAACCCTAGATTACACTTACCATAAAATAATAAAAAAGGCGCATTATTTTTTTGGGTAAAATCAATTTTTAAATTTTAATTTTTTAAGTTTTTGAAGGTTTTTTTTCTAATTTTTAAATTAAATTTTATTTCAGTAAAAAATAATAAAAACCCTTATGTAAAAATTAAATTTTTTTATTTTTCTTAACAAAATCCTTTTTTTTTTTAAAAGAAAATTTGGTTGTAATATTAAAATTTGGGTATATCTCCATTCTTTGAGTTAATTGATTGTCCAAATATCCACATTTTTCTGGTAATGTTTTATTTTTTTATTTTAACAAATTTTCCTTGAACCCCTTACAAACTTTTAAAAAATTGGTTAAATTTGTTTTAAAAGTCTGGAAATTTTATTTTTGAAATTTTTTTTTTTTTTTATTTTCCATATTAATTATTTGTCTTTTCCAGTCAAGAGCTATTTTTTCTTTCTTTGAAAAATTAAAAGCAATTTCTTTTTTATAAACCAAATATTTTAATTTCCCATTTTTTTTTTAAAAAATTATTAATTTATATTTTAAAAATTTTTTAAATTTGTTATTATTTAATTAAAATTATAATTTAAAAAATAAAAATACATAATTAGGATTTAATCAAAAAAATAAAAATTTTTTTTAATAAAATTTGGTTTAATTTTAAATTATTTATATTTTTTAAATTAATTATTTTAAATTAAAATTTGTTGGTTCCATTTTTTACAGGGAATTCCATACCCTAAAATAATATTATGAATTTATGTTTAAAATCTAAATTTCAAAATTTTTTTTTCCAGATTGGGAAAATGGAAAGGGAAAAGAAATCTGTTTTTAAAACAGGTAATTCCTTTTTAGCCATGGGAAATTTTTTTTAAATTGTAAATTTTAATATTTTGTTTAATTTTTTTAGAGTTTTTAAAAATAAAAATATTAATAAAAAAATGGTTTATTCCAAAATTTCTTTCCTTTTAAATTTATAATTTTAATATATATATATATATATATATATATATATATTTTTCATTTTAGATTGTTCATAAACAGAATTCCCTCGTTTGATTTGATTTTAACTTTTAATTTACCATTATTTAGGAGCCTTTTAAAAATATGAATCTTAAGACATATTTTTAAATTATAAATTTATAATTTATTTTTAAAAAGATTTTTAATGATTACCTTTTTTAAAATTTTTTTTTTATTACGTTTTTCCTTTTTTTTTAATAATTTTGGGGAATATTAATTTTAATTTTGGTTTTCCTAATTCTTTCAATTTCAATTTTGTTTAACAAAAAAATCCCTACCAAAACTTACAATTTTTGTTTTTAATATATTTTCCCCTTTATTTATTTTATTATAAAATAATAACTAGAAAATATCCCTTGTTTTATTTTTTTTTTAAATTTTTTTTAAGATTGCTGGAATTTGAAATGTTTTGGAGAAATTTTCTTATTCATTTTAAATTTTTATGTAAAAGCAAGAAAATTTAATTTTTTTTTTTACAGTTTCTGTTTTTGTTTTCGTGGAAAAATTTTGAAAATTAATTTTTTTTTTAAATTTTTTAAGTTTTGTTTATGAAAATTTTTAAAAGCCAACGTTTAAATTTTCGGAAAAATTACATAATTCCTTTCTAATTTTTCATACATAAAAGGGACATGTTAATAGTAATAATGATAGATAAAAATTTTGAAGTAATGGTAGAAATTATGAATAATTAATTGGATAATATAGAGATAGATAGATAGTATAATAGATAATAGATAGATATAGAAGATAAAGGAATGAATAGATAGAAAAATAGATAGAAGATAGATAGATAGATGATAGAAGTGAATGAAAATAATAATAATGATAGATAGTAAATATAAAGGAAGAGATAGATGATGATAATAGATGATGAAGTGAATGGGATAGATAGAAAAAAGGGGGGAAATAATGTAAGGGAATGATGATAAAATTGGTGGAGATATAATAAAAGGAAAAAAGGATGTGGTGGATAGATGATGAATATATAATGATAGGTGTTTTAAAAATGGATAAAAAGGGGAAATGATGATAAAGGGATGGATGATGTGAGGAGGGGTTTGGATGATGGATGGATTGAAGGGGAATGGATATGATGATGGAATGAAATAGATAGGATTGGGTGAAATGGGGTGATGATGAATGGATGGGTGGATGATGAAGTGATGGTTTGGATGAATGGTGATGATGAGGATGATGTAGTATGGGAAGGGGGTGGATAATATGATGATGATGATGGTTTTCCTTACCTGATAAACTTAAAAGGACAAATTAAATGAAAGCCTTTTGATTGAAAGAAAATTTCTTTTTGTTTTTGAAATATTTTTTTAAAAAAGTTTATTTTTTTTTTATTGTCATGTTTGTTTTCAAATTCGTTTTTCGTCAATCCTGAAATAATATAAATTCGGGAAATTTGCTACTTAATCATATATATTATTTATACACTTTAGCGTTGGGGAAAAAGGAACTGTCCCTGTCTTAAGTTTTTTAAAATTGTTACTAACAGAGATCATCGCTTTATTATCGTAATAAAAAAGGCCCAAAAGTGTTTAAATTGCACAACCGGTTTATGTACCCCAAGATTTAGGAAAAATTTTCCCCGGGAAACAGGGGGATTTGAATTATAACAGGTCACGACTTTTCCCGATTTTTTTTTTATTTTTAAAAAAAATGACGAAAATGTCGTTTTACTTTTTTGGAAAAAAAGCATTTTCCCATTATTTAAAAAAAAAAAAAAAAAAACGCAAATTTGAGCCTAATTTTTAAAAAAAAAAAATTAAACCCAAATTTTTTTTTGCATATCTTTTTTTTGTTTTTTGCCTAGGTCAAATCTGCTTTACAAGTTTTTCTTTTTATCTCTTAAACTTTTTCTTTTTTATCCTTAAACCTTTTTTGCCCCCCTTTTCCCCTTTTGGCTTTTTTTTTTCCCCTTTTCCCCTTTTTTTTTTTTTGTTTTAATTTTTCCCCGTTTTCCCCAAATTTTGGGGCCCCTTTAAAAAGTTTTTTTGCCCGAACCCCCCCAAAATTTTTTCCCCCGTTTAAAAATTTTTTAAAACCGAACCCCCTTTTTTTAAGGGCCCCACAAATTCGGGATTAAAATTAAAAAAAAATTTTTAAATTTGGGAAAACCCCTTTTTTAAAAAGGTTTAAAAAACAGGACAAAAATTCAAGGGTTGATTCCCGGCCCCTTTAAAAAAGGCTCAAGGGGGGTCTTTTCCCTTTTTCCCATTTCCCCCCTTTTTCCCTCTCCAAATTTCGCTCCTTTTTTAAAAATTTCCCCTTTACCCAACCCTTATTAGCGCTTTTGCAATAGGGGGTTTTCCCCACCCCTTTCCCTGAAAATTAAATTTCCCCTTTTATCCAAACTTTGTTCCCCCCCCGCCTTGGGGTTTTTTTATTTTCCTGTTTTTTTCCAACGCCCAAAAAAAATTTTTCACACCGAGTCTTGATCCCCTTCCTTTTAATTTCCCTTTTTTTTTCTGCCCCTTTTTCCCCTTATGGCTCCCCCTTCTTTAAATTTAAAAAAAAAAATTTTTCTTGTTAATAAAGTTCCCTTTTTTCCTTCCAAACTTTTTTTTTTTCTTTTCTTTAAAGGTTTCCCAAAAATTTTTTTAAAAAATTTTTTTGTTTTTTCTTAAAAGGGTTGTCCATCTTTTTTACCCTTTTTGAAATCTAAATTTTTAAAATTTTTTATAAAATTTTTTATTTTTGGAAATTTTTTTTTAAGGGTTGTCAAGACTTCTCATTTACCCCTAATATTTAAAAAAAGTTTTGAAAAGAATTTTTTTTTAAAAATTTCCGTTTAAAAATTATTTTAATTTATGTTTTGGTTTTTTTTTTTTTAAATTTTTAAAGAGGGGGGTAAAAAAAATTTTTTTATATTTTCCTGTTTTTATTTTATGTTTTTTGGGTTTTTTTTAAAATGTGATAAGGGGGTGTTGGGTGTAAAAATTATCCCTTTAAAAAAAAAGTAAAGGAAAAAAAATTTTTGTTTTAATTTAAAGATTTTTAATTTTGTTTTTTTTTTTTAATGGTAAAAAAAAAATTTTTAAATGTTTGGATTCATTTGGGGGAAAAAATTTTTATAAATATTTTTTAAAAAGAATTTTTTCATTTGAATTTTAAAAAAAATTAAGAAAAAAAAAAATAATTTCCCCCAAAAATTTTTGTTTTTCGGTTTATTAAGAAATTTTTTATTTAAAAAAAAAAAAAAAATGGTTTTAATAATTGGAATTTTAAAAATGGGGTTGTAAAAAGGAAAAATTTTTTTAAAAAAAATTTTATTTTAAAATTTTTTTGTTTTTTGGGATGAAAATTTTCTTTATTTTTAAAATTTTCCCTTTTTGTATTTAATTTTAAAATTTTTTGTTTAAAAAGGGGGGGGAAAAAAAGTAATTTTTAGGGTTTTTTTTTTAAATTATTTTTGGAAATTTCTAAAAAAAATTTAATTTAATTTTTGAAAAATTTTATGATGGGTTTTTTTTAAAAATTTTTTTTAAAAGGATGAAATATTTTTTTTATTTATTTTTTAATTTTATAAAATTTTAAAAATTTTGCATTTTTAGTGTTAAATTTAAAAAAGGTTTTTTAAAATGTATGTTTTTTTTTTTTTTTTTTGTTTTGGTTTTTTTGAAAAATGTTATTGTAATAAAAAATAATAAAAAAAAAAAATAATTTTGTTTATTGATTTTATAATTTAAAATTTTTTTTTTAAATTTTTTTTAGAATATGGAAATATTTTTTAAAGTAAAAAAAAATGAAATTTTTTTAAATTTTTTTTTTTTAAATTTTTAAAAAAAATTTAAAAAAAAATTAAAATTTAATTTTTAAAAAAATTTTTTTTATTAAAAAAAATAATTTAAAAAGTTTTGGATTGTTTTGTTGGTTTAAATTTATTGGAAAAAATTCCGGGAATTTAAAAAACCTTTTGGTTTTTTCAAATAATTTTCCGGAAAAAAAAATTTAAAATTTTTGGGGATTATTTATTAGCAGCCCCCTTTTTTTTTACTTTTAAAAAAGTGGAAATTTTTTTTTTTTAATTTAAGAGGGACCAACATTCTTTTTAAGAAATTTAACTATGCTCAATTTTTGACAAAAACCCGGGAATTTTTAAAAAAAAATATCAAAATTAAAAAATTGGGGAAATTAAAAAATAAAATTTAAAAACTGTAATAAAATTTAATTTTTTGACTTCTTTAAAATTTCTAAGAAATAAATTTAAAATCTTTTTTTTAAATTTAATCTCACATTAAAATTTTTTTTTAATATTTTTTTATTTTTAAAAGAAAAAAATAAAGCCCGTAAAAAAAAAAATTAAAAAATAAAAATTTTAAAGTTTTTTTAAAAAAGGGAATTTTTTTAAAAAATTTTTTTCCCCAAAAAAATTACCCCAATTACAACGTCGAATGGCCTTTTAACTCAAAGGGAAATTTTTTTTCCCCTTTTTTTTTTCAAAACATTTTCCCAAAAAGAAAAAATTTTTTCAAAATTTTTTTAAAATTTTTCTTTTTATTCAAATCAGTTTGGGAAAAAATTATTTTTTAAAAATAAGTCAGATTTTTTTTTTTTTACAAATGAAAAATATTAAATATTATTATTTTTTTTTAAAAAAAACAAAAAGAAATTTTAAAGTTGGGGGTAAAAATTAAAAAATCCCCCTTTGTTTTCCCCAAAAAAATTTTTCTAAATTTTTTTTTTCTTCCTTTTTCCCTTTTTTGTTTACATTTTCTGGGGTTTTTTTCCCTTTTTCCCTTTCTTTCTTTTAAAGGGTTTTTTTTAAAAATTGTTTTTATTTTCGGTCCGTTCCCCAAAATTTTTATTTTGTTCCCGTTTTTTGTCTTAAAAAAATAAAAATTGTCTATTAAAAAGTTACGGAAAAACCCCCCCTCTTTCCTTTTAAATAAAAATTTATTTTTTGTTAATATTTTTATGTTTATTTTTTTTTTTCATAGTTTTTTTTTTTTTTCGGTTATTTTATTTATTTTTTTTTTTAAAAATTTTGATTTTTTTTAATTTTTTTTAGGTTTTAAAATTTTTCAAATTTAAATTTTTTTGTTTTTTTTATAATTTTTTATTTTGTTTTAAGTGATTTTTGGATTTTTTATTTTTTTAGTTATTGTTTGTTTATTTTATAGTTTTTTGTGATTTTTTTAAAATTTAAATTAAATTTTTTAAGATATATTTTTTATGTTTTTTATTTTGTTTTTTGGGGGTTTTTTTATTATGGATTTTGGGTTTTTGGGAAATTTTTTAAAGTTTCATTTAAAACCCCTTTTTGCCCTTTAAATTTGCTTTTTAATAAAATTTTTCAAATTGAAATTTTCCAAAACCCGGTTTTCGCCTTTTTAATTTACAAAAAAACCAAAAAAAAAGAAACCCCAAAATTTTCCACGGTTTTTAAATTTCCAAATCCGAAATTTTTTCCTGATAAAATTTTTTTGAAATAAAAATTTTATTTTTTTTTTTTGGGAAAAGTATTAAATTTTGGGGGTTTTTTATGAAAAATGTTTTTTTAAAAAAAAAGAGAGGAAGGTGAAAAAATTACAAAAATTTTTTATGTTTATTAAATAGTTTTTTGGGCCCCGATTGGGGATAATTTGAAAGTTTTGAAAAAGTAAAAAGAAAGTCTTCAAAGTGTTGGATTGAATGTGTATATTGGTTGTTCCGTTAATTTAGATTTTGAAAAAAAGAAACGAATAATTATTTCCCGGGGTTTGATTAATAAAAAAACCGAAATTTTTCCCCGTTTTTTTCCCAAATTTTTAATTTTAAAATTTTTTTTTTTATTAAAAAATTGCTTGATTAAATTAAAAGACAACATTAATTTTTCCCAAAAAACTTTAAATAATTTAAAAATTTTTCAAAATTAAAAATTTACAAAGGGGGGAAAAAACCCATTCGGTTTTTTTGTTTTATGAGGGTTTTTTTTATTTGGGGCCCCCCCCCAAAACCCCGAGAGCCTCTATTACTGCATCAGTGAATATCTTAACCTCTGGAAATTCCTTCTGTTACAACGAATTTCACTCCATCTCTTACTGGACCGAATTTCCCACCCGTCTTCTCAGTGATGAGTATGTAGCTTGTGTGTCCATAATTTGTTAGTTCTTCAGCCACTTTAACCATCGGGTTGATTTGGCTAAAATAAGGTAACGACAAAAAAGAATGTTGTCCGTACTGGTCAGTCGATTTGGTAAAATGGCGAATATTATGACCTGAAAAAGTCGTGTCATTTTCATTATGTGCAATTGTTTCTTAAGA